AACTTCGTAATATTATAAGACAAAATTCACTAAATTAATTTGTTTAAATTTTCAATTTCGTTTATTAAAATTCAACAACTTTTATTTACATATATGTAGGAAATGCGAAATTAAAATTTTTTTTGTTCAAAGATCCAAACTATTCCTCCTATAAATAATCGGCACGCTTCTGTCCCAAGGATTTAGTACAGAAACGAACCATATCTACTTTCGACGATATGATTTTATCGATAGTATCAGAAAATGTATATAGTCACGTAGTTTCCAAATTGAAAATGGATATACTGATGGTACGGCTAATTTTAATAACAGGAAGAAGGTCGGAATGGCCTTTCTCAGGTTTCTCTTTGAATTGTCAGTTTCTAAGGCCGGAATCAGACTACACATTGAAGAATGAGATTGAAGATTGAAAGATTAAAGTTTGACCAGAACAAAAGAAACCAAAATTTCTTTCTTCTCATTGGTGAAATTTCAATCTTTAATCTCAATCTTTAATGCATAGTCTGATTCCGGCCTAAAGCAGTTGATTTATGTAATAAAAAATAATGAGTTAGACCAATATTACATGCGTTTTTTGTTGACAAATTTTTCATGTCGATTATAGGACAAAGAAGTTCTTCTCTCCTTTAGGCTCTCCGCACAATAAAAGGAACAGAGAATAGAGAACAAAATTAAGAATTTCAACCTATCAGAAATTATGTATTGTGGAATACATAGTTTCTGATAGGTTGAAATTATTTTCTATTTTCTGTTCCCTGTTCCATTTATTGCGGAGACCCTAAGGCCAATATTACATCCATTTTTTGGAAAAAGTACGTTTTTTGGAAAAAGAACGATAACGAGTTATTTTTATGAAGTAACGTGCCTGAGATTAATCTAGATTAATAGAAATGGACATAAAAGATAAGCCAATCAGGATTCAATGCCTCTCCTTTTCGCTCGTAATTTCATGTTATGTTTCGCGTCTAGTTGTTTCTTGTGCTTATGAACAACACTTATGCCTAATTCACATTGGACGCAGCAAGCGTCAAGCAATGAAACAGCAACCAATCAGCAAGACGATATTATTTACGCCACTGTAAATATCGCCTCTCTGATTGGTTGTTGCTCCGCTAGTTGACGCTTGCTGCGTCCAGTGTGAATTAATGGAGTACTGCGTAGTCAACGTCAGTCAATGTAGTGTGCACTTTAGTGTTCATTTCAGTTCACTGTAAATCCAAACGGGTAGGAACGATTTTCACGTAAAATAGCATATATATTTAGAAAAAAAAACAGAAAGCAGGAAATCTTAAGATAATCGATATCACGGCCGTGACAGACTGTTCGAATTATCACTGAAAGGGCATATAATAGTTGTTTTAGCCGGAATTCTCCGCCCTCTTTATCATTCTTCGCATATTGGTAAGATTCAATACATGTCGACAGCAATTGTGAAAATTTGTACGACGCATATGTCGAGTAAAATAAAACTTTTCTGAGTCACGTGTGGTGGAATAGTATTCAGATTTATTTAGAACTTTTTTTTTATGAATTGCTGATTCGTAAACATTTTGTCTCTCTTTGTTCACTTAATTGTTGATTTGTGTTGTGTGTAAAAAGGGTATAGTATATATTTGTTTGTAAAAATAAAAAGAGTTACGTGATTAGCTTTTAATCCTATTTTAATCCTATTTTTGTATTTATCAAATGACTTTTGTTCACGTGGCAAACTATAAATGTCAAAATGTACGATATTTTATGATCTAAACAAATGAATAATTATTTCTATAATCAACTATGTAAAGCATGCAAAATTATAGATAATCTATTTGTGTATCGATTATTGTTTCATATATTTTAACATTTTTAGTTTGTCATATATTTAGAGATGATGTTCCAAATTTTAAAAAATGAATTTAAAGTCATTCAGTGATTACAAAATTATGATCAAATTAACTATAAAGACTAGCTTTTTATGTAGCTCTTCTTACTGTTCCAATAAGCGTCAGTAAACTTATTGATGAAATGGAAGTTGAACGAACTCCATATTATAGTCATAGTATATTCTAGTACGTTCTAGTATAGTATATGTTTTAGTACATGTTATAGCTTATGAACTTCATTAATGCTTTGAAATGCAATACTAGTCGGTTCTTCTAAAAATTTCTGGATATTTTTCATTCTTATTGATCAATCAAAGTTTTTGATATATATGAGTATAGTACTTATATATAAATAATAACTGAGTATATATGAATAAAATATATATATAAA